TGATCCAAAGCAAGAGAGCGACGCTGAAGGGCTTGCAGCACATGCACCTCAGAAGTGGTGCATGCTTTATCTTCAGCATCCTTGGTCTCAACCTTCAGTTTCCCGGTGTTCTCATCAAGAGTGAACCGGGTATCTCTCTTTCGCTCTGATGCAACCTCCTGCTCACGAGATGTGCAAACATCCCAAGGAATGTAACGCAGCTCATTAATCTCATAAGAAGAAACTGCCCTGTCCACCAAGGCTTCGCTCGGCTCAGAAGCACCCTTTATCGTGATGCCCGAAAGCTTTTTGCACTGCCGGTCATAACGTTCAGCCCTTTCCGGCTGGGTGAGGCGCCTAGAAGTAGGCTCCTCGCTCTTCTCGATCTTCTGTCTCATCTCCTGAGTCACGACGGCGTATGCCTCGTGATAAAGAGCTCGGAAGCTGGCCTGAACGGCCAACTCAGCATCACGATTAAGCATGGTCTTAAGAGATTCCATCAACGGCGCTTCATTCGCCTGTCCTGGAGTAAAGCTGGAGATAAAAGCCAGCTGCCTCAGCGAGCCCACCGATGCCTTAACTTTTGCTGCATCCTCAGCAGGCAGTCCACAAGCATCTACACGAGCATCGAAGACGCTACGGCTATCTGAATAAGAAGCCGCCATGGCTTCACCTGAGACAGCCCAACGAGCTCCCAGGAGTCAGCAGCGTTTAAGACTCTCAGAGGCATCTCAAACACAGCGCGCCAGCAAGCATGCAATCCCAAACACAGCGAGCCCTCACAGCAGCACTCTCAAACACAGCGTCTCGCCTAGCAGGCACAAAAATTCCGTAGGAGGATGCTCGCAGATTCCACGAGCTGTCAAAAGAGCCCTAGGGCTTCAGGTGGCTTCATCCTGAGAGTCCCCCTTATCGAGAGACTTCGCATCAGGACAGCACTGCTTGCAAAGGGGAAACAAAACTTCGGGAAGGCTAGGGCACCGCGAAAATGAAGTGGAGATTTTTCTCCCGCATCTGAAGTGCGTCCCCTCTTCGGAGGACACAACATGCAGGAACCTAGTGATGTTGTGCCTGTACACCGGAGCCTTCCCCAGGGACTCACGAAGACCTGCAGAGGGCTCCCAAGGCCCCACGACAGAATCTAC